TAGGGTTAGATTTAGGGTTAGGGTTAGGGTTAGGTTTAGGGTTAGGTTTGGGGGGGGTTAGGGTAAGGTTTTCGCTTTATTTTTACATTTTTCGATCACAGCGCGATGTTTTCGTCACGCTGTGATGACGTCAAATGCGCGCTTTCGTCGACCGCGATTTTGTCGTCCGCGGTTTTGTGGTGGAACCAAAAATTCGTTAATTCTTTCTGCATGCATGAGCAAACTTTTTAGTATTCATAGATTTCATCATGGCAAGCAGTTCTATTTGAACGGAGGTTCCATTAACAAAATTAAATACCACAATTCATAGAACAAAAAGATTTTATGCCTTGTGACCTTTTTTACATTTAATAATATCTTGATTGTTACCTTCAAAGAGGAATGTCTTGAAAAGGTTTCATTGAGCAAAATTTCTTTTTAACTGTACACTATTCAGGAAATTAAACTCCATATTCAGAATTTAAAAAAAATCACATTTCAGCTTATTGAATGATAAATATATATAAATAACAATTCCTGCTTGGCAAAGTTGCTTTAACAGCCATAGAAAGATTTTAAAAGCACTCCAATAGCATTCTGAGTTACCTAAATACAATTGAAATTCACTAGTTTTTATCTTGGGAAGATTTACAAAAGCTTTGAAAAGGAATATACAGGGCAAATCGATTTTGTTTAATATTTACAAAGTGTTAATGTACAGATAGAGTATCTTCCATTATATATATCACTTTCCTACTAGACAGCCTCCTCATAGAGACCTTGGGTGAGATAATAATATGACATGTTACTCCAACAATGATTTTTAGGATAATGTAAATACATAATATTTACTTAAGGGATTTACTCAATCCCTTACTATCTAAAATCATTCCCCTGTATTTGTAAAAATATAAATATAATACACATATAAAATTCAGTCAATATAAAAGTAGTCCTTGACTTACGACCATTCATTTAGCAATTGTTTAAAGTTACAACAGTATTGGAAAAATTGACTTATCACTAGTCCTCACACTTATGACCGTTGCAGCAGTCTCGTGATCATGTGATCAAAATTCATGTGTTTGGTAATCAGCATGTATTTAGGTTGGTCACAGAATCCTGGGGTCACATGATTGCCATTTGCAACCATCCTAGATGGCTTCCGCCAAGCAAAGCCAATGGAAGAAGCCAGATTCACTTAATGCCCATGTGATTCACTTAACAGAAAAGGTGGCAAAAAGGTCATAAATCAGGCACAATTCCTTTAATAACCACCTTTCCTAGCAACAGAAATTCTGATCCCGACTGTGGTCATAAATCAAGGTGCCTATAAGTTCAATATTAAAAATAAAAATTTAAATGTACCTTGCAATCCATTCTACAAAGTTTTCCTTCTTGAACTATCAGATCTCCTGGGGCCTGCAGGAAATGTGGTCGGAAGAAGCGTTCCTGGATTGGTTCATTTTCATCTCCACTATCCCTTGATCGAGACCGTGGTCTATAGATGTAATATATAAGTCACCCCAGAAATATAGTATATTTCCAAATTTATTTACATTGCTATAGCTCAAACAGATATTAGTGCAGATTTAGTTAACTCTTTCAATGAAAACTATTCATGGTTACTGCTACTTATCTCTAAGTCTTCTCCATTTCTCCTTCTCAAGTAATCACCTCTGCATTTCATTCCCATATCATTATAAAAAGGGATGCAAAGACAACACAAATTGCTTTCTAGGCTCAAGCATATTATGAAAAAAAATCTTTTGTCCACTCCAATTTAGTTTACTTCATCGACAGACAAGCAGAACTATAATACTTTACCTAATGAATTGCAATCTGCCAAGAACTGTTTCATAATTTACACATCACCTATCTGTATATTCCTTGTTGAAATTTTGCATCTTTTTGGGGTCTGTACAATAAACATCTGTCACATTAATAACAGAACAACAAAATGCATTACAGTAGTCCAGGAGACAGACCAAGAAATGAAACTGCTAACTAAAAATTCCCAAATAATTGTTTTGCTTATTATTTTTATTGAAGGGTATAATTAAAAGCTTAATTACCAAAAGTAACAATCTCATACAAATACTAAAAATATCATAAGATCTAACACATTATTTAGCTCAGTTCAGATTCAACATGTTTTCAGTTATGGAATGCAATATTTGTCACTTAATGTTTCCTGCAATTTAAAATTTGTATAATGTTTCATCTCCAAAAATGGGTTCAGTTTGAAAAGTCAACTTTTAAAGCATCAGATAAACACAGAGGAGAGATCCAGCTAATTATGTATGTTCTTAGTCAGTAATATCAATCAATAAAGTAATCATGATAAAAAATATATTTATATAGGTAGTCCTTAACTTAAAACAGTTCATTCAATTAAGTTTCAATGGTACTGAAAAAAGTGACATGACCATTTTTCACACTTACAACCATTTGCAGCCTATGGTCACATGCTCAAAATTCAGATGCTTGGCAACTGACTCATATTTTAGGACACTTGCAATGTCCTGGGGTCATGTGATCACATTTTGTGACCTTCTAACAAGCAAAGTCAATGGGGAAGCCAGATTCACTTAACAACATTGTTACTAGCTTAACAACTGCAGTGGTTTACTTAACAAATTTGGCAAGGAAGATCATAAAGTGGGGCAAAATGCATTTAACAAATGTCTTACTTAGCAACAGAAATTTGGGTTGTAAGTCAAGGACTACCTTTATTAGAGCCATAAATCTTTCCTAAGTTCATAATTAATAGTCATACCTTCTGACATGAGGCTGGTTAGGTGGTGTCCTGGGGCTGCGTCCTCTCTGATTGACAGCTTGGACCATCAATCGTCCTGTACAGCTTATTCTCCCCTAGCATTTGAAATTTAAAAAGAAAAATTATATAGATGTAAAACAGTTTTACTGAATAACCTTCTTTTAACAATTAAATCTTCTAACTGTCCTTTAGATTGCTAGTTATGTACTTTTATAAAGTGTTTGTTTTTAAAGATTATTATTTTTTCTTTGGAGTTATTTCCATTGTACTGTAATCACATATTTCACATGAACTGTTGCAAGCCCAACAAGAAATGAGGTGGTCAATGAATACTCAGAAACTTAGAAATACAAACAGCTGTATAAAACAAATCACAGGATATACAGCAATGACCTATGGCAATTCCTAGTTTTGGCTGGCCTTTAACTATGACAGCTTCAATTCAATTCTATTCCTTCCCTAGCATATTACCTAATTAATCTGTTCTCTCATTTTTAGCCCACAATCCAAATTTACTGAATAGCAACTATTGTTCCTTTTCTTACTATTAGGTTTTTTGCAATTACTGTACCAAACTGTTGCTAAATAACCACTAGATGGCATCACACAAATAATTCTAACATTCATAGTTTGATCAATCTATCCATCCATCCATCCATCCTTCCTTCCTTCCTTCCTTCCTTCCTTCCTTCCTTCCTTCCTTCCTTCCTTCCTTCCTTCCCATCTTCCCCTCCAACATTTAAAGTATGTATTCATGGCTATATGCTCAGATTCACTCTATGAAGATTGAAGGCTGAATAGCATAAATCATTACACTGGTTATAATAATATATGGGATGAGGAACATAGAGTTTTAAATGGATCACTGTAATTATATCCATCTGAACCTGATTATTTGATCCACATGATCAGAAGAACTTACTGCAGTCATTAAAACAGTCAACTGTATTCATTAAACACTGTTGGGCCAGATTAGAAAGTTGTTGTTTTCAGACAAATATATCTATTCATTTCAAGAAAACATACAGTATACTTGAGAATACATTCCACTGATTATAATGGGACTTATTTCTACATACTCAAATACAGGATTTACCATTAACCCAACAACTACCATTTCCCCCTGAAAATAAGACCTGGCCTTATTTTCTTTTGGGCCCCAAAATAAGCATTTAGGCTTATTTTCAGGGAATATCTTATTTTTTTCCCCATTACAAGGCCTGGTCTGGCCTTGCGTCCCCCCACGCATGCACAGGCGGCAGTAATCATGAAGAGGCCAACTGCAGTAGGAGGTAGAGAGAGGGAGGTGCCCAAAGGCCATCAGCCTGAGCACCTTGGATCAACTGCCGTGGAGAGCACAACTGGTGCCGCTGCCATGAGGTGCTCTCTCTCTCTCTCTCTCACTGCAGAGGTGGTGGCAGCACTTTAGTTCCTGGCTGGCCAGAATGGACCCACTTTCTCTCTTTCTTCTCCCTGCTCCTCCTCCTTCTGTCACTCCGCTTTTCGTCTATCCATTGCAGCACCCGGGATCTATTTTGACAGCGGTGGGGCTTGAGAGATGGTCAATCCCCATTCATGGTGTGGCCACAGATGACAACATTGGACAAGACGGAAGGCAATCCCGCCCACCAGACCAGCCTGGTGGGGGTAGGGTGGGAAACCAAGTGGCAACGAAAGTAGCTGAAAGTGTGGCATTCAAGCCCTGGAAGATTATTTAAAGGGACAGCATTGCCTGCAGTTTTCATTACTCATTGCTTCTAAGCATGCACTTCCCACAATCTTCCAAGACTTGATTACACAAAGGCAATTTGCTCTGGAAGGGAAGAGAGGAAGAAATTTCTTTTTGGAGAGGTCCTGCCCAGTAGTCAAAACTTTAACGCCACACTTTCAGCTGCTTTCGGCACTGCTCAGTTTCCCACCCCATCCCTGCCAGGCTGGTCTGGAGAGTGGGACTACCTTCCGCCTTCCCCCTGCCACTGGGGTCTATTTTTGGGGAAACATTGTAGATGCGGGAAAATTATATATCTGTTCTTAAAACAACCATTAATTCACATATGACTGGATACCAGAACTGGGCCCAAAGCATTAAAAAATTCTTTATGAACACAGAAAAATGTACAATCACTAACATTTGTGATTTTGCACAAATATTTAAAGAAATTATCTACAAAAGATATGAAGTATAAAAGCTGAATGTAATTGCAATAGCATAATCACTCAGGAAGTAAACACCTTTTTATGCAAAGAGAAAGGAAAACTATAATTACAATAATTACATACGTTTAATTTTCTTTAGATTTTTCACAAATTTAAATCATTTCCCAGGGCGTTCAAAAGCTTGTAAAATAAGTGGACTAAAAGACAGGCTGAGCTTGGGAAATTAGGATCAAGTCAAAATAGAATTCCACCATTGCAATTAGGGTGGAGTTTTCTGTATAGCTCAGTTTCTTAGCTGTTGTCACCCATGGTTCTGACAGTATTTCTTAACTGGGTGAGTTTCATAGTTAAGATGAGTGATTGTATTTAAAGACTGCCCAACAACTGCAGCTAAATAGCCCTAAATAAGGTATGGACAACTGCTATATATCTTGAGAATCTGACACTTTAATTGAACTACTGCTTAACCACTCAATAAGTAAAACCACTGTAGGGAAACTGGGAAAGTGTGGGGACAGAAATTATTTACAATCATATGAAAAAGTAACTACACCCTATTGCATTAAAAAAAACTTTTTCAATGTAGTTCAACAGAGAAATATTTTTATCTCCATTTTAACAGTACTGATAGATATCATGCTTGATTTATATTTTGTAGTTCACTCTGTAATTTAAATAAACATAACTGCAAATTTTCTTCACAGAAGGAAATGGCATATCTATTGATTTTTATTTTATTTAGTTATAAGCTTTATGTGGCTGCTCATCTTAAACAACACTAGGTGCCTTACAATAATTTCTGCTGAAGAAATGATGCAAACTAGTGGGGATGCAGCATAGGAATTTTGAAGTATCTGAAAATACAGGTCTTACAACAGTTCATTTAGCGACTGTTTCAAGTTACAACAGCACTGAAAAAGTGACTTATAACCACTTTTCACACTTATAACCATTGCAACATCCTCATGGTCATGTGATGAAAATTCAGACATTTGGTAATTGATTCATACTTATGATGGTTGCAGTATCCTGGGATCATGTGATACCTTTTGTGACCTTCTGATAAGCAAAGTCAATGGGGCGCAGAGATTCACTTAAACTGTTGCAAGAAAGGTTGTAAAATGGGACAAAGTTCACTTAGCAAATATTTCGCTTAGCAACAGAAATTTTGAGCTCAAAGACTATGTGTAATTTGTTCTACAATGCTAAAAACATATGACTGTGTTTCTCCAAAAATAAGACCAGGGAAATAGGGAAAATAAGAAAATAAAGACAAAAAAAGTTATATTTTTTGGTTTTCAAAATAAGCATTAGGGCTTCTTTTCAGGGAAATATGGTAACAGGGTGATCAGCCTGGCTGGACACCTCACCCCCTGGTGTCACACAAGAGCTAGTGAGTATGTGGGGGCCAACAGTGTCTGGCAGCACTGCAGCCCACTAGCCCCTTGGTCAGAGCACTCTGGGACTGGGTAGCTTACACAACACAGATGAGTTTACCTGTGTCCAAGCAGCAGATGGAGGCAGAGACATTGGGGGGGAGGGGGGAGAAGGCAGGCAATCCGGACATGCCACATAGGCCACGGTAAAGAAACAGAACTCAGTCAGTCTCTGCTCAGCTGCTTGCCATCAAAGATGCCAGCAACAGTTTAGGAAATCTTTTGTCTACACCACAGTCATTAAACCTTGAAGCGCAACACAGACCAACAGATATTGGCTGTGAAGGTCTATATAGTATATTGTGCCTTTTTTGCTGGAGTAGAGAGGAGAGAAAGGACTCACCAGGGAATAAGGACATGTGCTTTCCTATGGGAGAATATGAATAAAATGAACTCTGTCATTAGAGGTAGGGAGGAATCTGGTTTTTCCTCATAATATATAGTTCTACTCCAGTGGTGGGTTTCAAAAATTGTTGGAACCTACTCTGTGGGTGTGGCCTCTTTTGTGGGAGTAGCCTGCCACCCATGTGATCGGATGGGAGTGGCTTGCCGCCCATGTGACCGGATATGAAATAATGAATTAGTACTTAGGTCGGTCCAAGTAGCTATTCAGAAACTCTGGCATTGAAGCATGCAAGTCTTAAAGCTGTCAAGTTACAAGATCCTTGCCAGTGGTGGGTTTCAAAAATGTTTGGAACCTCTTCTGTATGTGTGGCCTGCTTTCCGGGTCCGCTGGTGGAACCTCTTCTAACCAGTTCAGTAGATTTGACGAACCGGTTCTACCGAATAGGTCCGAACTGGTAGGGACCCACTTCTGTTCTACTCGGACATAATCAGAAGTAGAAGAGTTTGGAGTCATCAGTGATTAGCTGATGATTCAGAGAGGCAGATTTCAAATGTAGCTTGTTTACCTAGTAACATCTATATAAGGACAGTTGCTTAAAGAAACAGTTTTAAATCATTTCCCAACAGCTCTGTATTCTCAACTTGGCACCATGAATATGAGATGAGTTGAGAAGCCTTAAGTATTACTTGTCCTAGAATGACATCATTTCTCAATTAAATCTTTAACTCAGACTGTGCATGTAAAGAAACATCTGTGCCCAGGAGCATACTGATTCTATAGCTAAGACTTGAACTACCTGTGGATTGGCAGCCATGACAGTGTAATTCCCATCATCATCGAGGGTGGAGGCAGTGATATGGAGAGAGCAGGTTCCATCAGGTTCTCTTTGCATCGAGTAATGCTCATTCCTTTTAGAAATTTGCTTTCCGTCTTTGAACCAATAGATCTATATTCAGAGAAATCAAAAGCAAAACATAAACAATGAAAGGGAAACATAGTAATAAATTATAATCTGTGAATGAAGAATGAAGAATGAATCCAAGTGCTGATTTAAAAAAAAACACATAAAAAGGATCTAGAATAAATTTCTGCCTTTCCTTCTGTTATTTAGAACAAATACTTGAAAAATAAACAGCTATTTCACTTCATTGGCTAAACAGCGAGTAATGCATGTATTTGTGTTTGAAGCAAAATTCCAGATTGAGATACTGTAAGATGGTGGAGAAATTAGTTCTCCTGTTACTGTTGCATTACAATATCCACTTTATATCATCATTGCCCAAAAAATAAATAGTAATATTTTTCTATGTACATTTTTTCTCATAACATTTTACTGCTAGTCATGCCAGCAATATAAGGTCCAATTAGGCTCCCTAGGTTCAATCAGAAACCATACCAAACAGTCAATAAATATTTAGGGCTTGAATTATCTCCCCTCCTCCAAATCAATATTATATTTCTTTTTGGACCAAGCAAAATAAAGCAAAAAATGCAGAAACTTTTGAACTGTCAAGAACTTTTCATTAGAGAAGAAAATGCTGTCCCTTCCCCTATACTCGGGATGGCAAACACAGGTGGCACGCGGAGCCATTTGTCAGCTGGCAGTACACAGGCGCGCATTGGCCAGCTGAGTTCAGACTTTTATAAAGCCATTTTTCACCCTCCCCAGGTCCAGAGGCTTTATAGGAGCATGGGGAGGGCGAAAACAGCCTTTAATACAAATGAAATATTAATAATCATATTTGTTGCATTTAACATATATGGTTCTAATAGTAATATACATATTTTTATTAAATTATAATTTCCCATTATTTAATTATTCAAAATTTCAGTATTATTTTTATGTCAATCACTATGTTGTTCAAACATTCTTAATGCTACCATTAGTCAAGTTCTGATTTCCCCTCTATTACTTCACCTTATTATATAAAGATGTGTATTCCATTAATCCCCTTTCTAGTTTCCACTTCTTCTAACTTTTAATTATGCCACTATTGTATTTAAAAATATTCCCTTTTTATCCACATTTTAATACAAATAAAATAATATTCATCATATTTACTACGCTTGACACATTTATATAGTTCTGATAATAGTACATATATTTTTTGTTGAATTATAATATTTCATTATTTAATTATTCAATATTTCAATAGGTTATTTTTATGCCAATCACCGTATTCTGGATATAGTTCCTTTTACTACAAGTAGAATATTAATAATCATATTTGTTACATTTAACAAACATATCATTTTTATTTATTTATGTATTTATTTCACCAAGCATGTATTAGATAACATATGTAAGTATAAACATGATTTTAGATACATGAAATGGATACGAATAAAAAGAAACATTAGGACAGGGATGGTAGGCACATTGGTGCGCTTCTGCAGACTCCTTACAGACCTCTTAGGAATGGGATGAGGTCGACAGTAGACAGTCTTAAGGCTAAAGGTTTGGGGGAAAATCAGGGTAGGGAAGTGCATTCCAGGCATTGACCACTCTGTTGCTGAAGTTGTGTTTTCTGCAATCGAGTTTGGAGCAGTTTACTTTAAGTTCTAGTGATAATACACATACAGTGTATTTATGTTCAGTTATAATCTTCCATTATTTAGTTATTCAATATTTCAGTATGTTATTTTTATGCCAATCACCTTATTAATCAAACATGTTTAATACTACCATCAAGTTCTAGCTTCCTAGCTTTTATTATATAAAAATGTGTATTCCATTAAACTCCCCCTCTAGTTTCCATCCCTATTCTAATTTTGTTATACCACTGTCATATTTAAGAATGTTCCCTTTCTATCCTTCGTCTCTTGCCCGCTTTGAAGCTTTAATTGTTCCATTTCTTAGCTTGCCTCCCATATTCCTCTCTTACCTTGCCTCCCATATTCCATCTCTCCTCTCCTATATCTGCTTCCACTTCTTGGCCAATCATTTTGAACATTTCTCCCTTCTCTGCCCTATTCCACTGTCTACTTTTGCCCCTATCTCGCTTCCAAAAAAGTCTTCCTGTAACTCCAGTTCCTCTTTTTCTTCTCTTAAAATACTCTTCCCTCCGCTTAATTCATCAGTCATTATTATTTTTGTTATCTCCTTCTTGTCATCTCGTTTTATTTGTTGGTTTGTCTGTTTTTTTTTTTTTCATCTACTCTTTCAATTGGCTCCTCCACTTCCTGGGCATTTTGGTCACTCATTGTCCTTTGTGTCATATTTTCCAGCTCTTCATCTATGCTCTGCATTTTATTCATAATCTCTTTGTAAGTTACTTGTCAAAGGATCCTTAATACTCTGGATTATCAATGTGGTTTCTTCTCAAATTCCACTCATTTCTTGCTGATGGAGCAATCTTGTTTTAGTTTTATTTTGTTTCTTTTTTGTCCAATAATCCAAAAACCATATATTCAAATCTAAAGTCACTTCTCAAAAAATTCAATATTCATGAATCTTTATATCCCAAAGCTAATCGACCGGTTCCTCTGGGTAATCCGAAAACAGAATCTTCGTAAATCCCTTTGTAAATTCAGTCTTGTGTTGAAGCCTTCAGGGGTCTCTTTAATAATAATGTCTTTCTTGTTATCATATTTAAATTTCCAATAGGCAAATATTTCCAGGAGTTTGGAAATGTGTTATAGCTTTCTTTTGTCAGCAGGTGGCATTTTTAAGTCAAATTTCAATATTAACATTTTTTTATCCAATTTTAATGGTAATAATCCAAAATATAAAGATGATGTTAATTTTTTAAGTAAATCATTCCAGCATTTTAAAATGCTTGTCCAAAATGATGACTGTCTAATTTAAAAATCCAATTTTCTGTATTTTAACTATTTTTCTGCCTTCTTCCCTTTGATTCTTTTTGTTTTCTTTTTTACATTTTTCCTCAAAGTGTTAAGTCTCTGTTACTTTTAAAACAGTTGTAAGTCTCTCTTTTCTTGGATATTCTTCTCACCTGATTCCAGCCACTGTTCATCAACTCAGCTCCAGCACAATTCTTAGATGGTCAGCTGTCCCAGCTTCGTGGCAGCCATCTTATACATCATGGTGAGAAGACTTAGACTACTCTCCGTGGAGGGAAAAAAGCCCCGAGGTTCAGCAGGAGAGTTGCGATCTCTCTTGTGACCTTTCTTGCGACCCATCCCTCCTTAGTTTCAGCACCCCTACAAGGCGGCTTTGGCTCCTTTTGAGCCCACAAACAGGGAAAAGTCAGCACAGAGATAGAGAGCTCTGTTCCCTGTGACTGGTAACACCGTGACATCACTTCTGTTTCTCAAACATGCATTCACTAGTGCATCATTTTCACTGGGTCTAATAAAAGTATTATCCAACTGTGAAAGCTAATTCTTTTTTACTGCTTTCTAATGTTTACTAAGTTACTAAACCAATTCTATTAGTTCATCAAAAATAGTTAGCTTAGTATTTTGTGATATGATGCTGTATACAAAAACAGCAGCAGTACCATGTACACTTAGTCATTGACTTATGGCGACAGCGGAGTCTAAAATTTCTGTTGCTAAGTGAGACAGGTGCCTCATTTTACAACCTTTCTTGCCATAGATTTTTAAGTGAATCACTGGAGTTAAATTAGTAATATGGTTGGCTTCCTCATTGATTTTGTTTGTCAGAAGGTCACAAATAGTGATCATACGACTCCGGGACATTGCAAGTGTCATAAGCATGAATTAGTTGCCAAGCATCTGAATTTTCTTTATGTGATCATGGGGATTCTGTAAGGGTTGTAAGTGTGAAAAACGGTCATATGTCATTTTTTTCATGCCATTGTAACTTTGAACGGTCACTAAATATTATAAGTTGAGGGCTACCTTATGTTCAGTCCTAAGGTTGTTTATCATAGGTATTTGGAAACAAAAGAAAGTTTCCTATTATTTCAGATATACAGTATGTGGTCCCCAGTTGTACAAAATGAACTGACCTGGTGATCCTCTACAACTACACCATTAATTCTTTTTCTAAGTGAATAAATGACAGTGTCCATATCACTGGCTATGTCAGATATTGGCGGATAAAGGCTTTTGAAGAACTGGCTCAGGAAGAATGATTAAAAGACTGTGCCAGTTTTCTTGACAACTGCAAACAGTTTTAATGCAGTCAATCCCGAAAGCAGCATCGTTGTATCATTTTCATTTCCAAGGAAAAATAAAAAGCAGAATCCTCCTAAACTGTTATATGTTACAACAATTGTATAGATTGGCCGAATTCTTCATTTTTCTGATGGTTGACCACCATCTATTTATTTCAATGCATGAGATAAAGCTATCATTAAATTTTAACAAAGCTTTTAAAGGAGGAATACAAATTGCGTTTCATACTTCCATATAAGGTTACCAGATACTAACAAGAACTGTGTTACTGCAAAGAATTTTTTTTTTTCCTGGTTTGTCTCTTACTAATCTTATGTGCTGGATTGCAAAATGTTGGCGCTGCCAACAAACAACAGAGCAATGTGATGGCACAGTTTTTGTTTCACAAAAAACCCTTGTGCATATTGTTTGTAAAGCCTAAATCTTAACAAAGGCTTAGCTGTAAAAATAAGTTTGAACTTGCACATTACACAAATTTCTAGTATTACTTCATAAATGCTGGTCTTGTAAGAGCTATTAATTATTTTATCATACCTTTTTTTCATTACAGAATCTGGAAATTTGCCAAAATTATACAAGTTAAGATACGTAAAGGAGTTTATGCCTGGTGTCCTAGATTAACATGACAGTGTGGCATTTTACTGTTAATTCAGTTTTATAATAATTGATATATAATTCCTTACTCTTGCCCCACAGCAATATTCTAAATGTAGTCAAATGTTTTTTCTCTTAGGAAATTACAATTACTTCATATTATTGTTTGCATGTTGCCTTTGTTAAGTTAAATAACATCTTTTTTTAAATTAACCACGTGCAGTTTAACTGAGCTGAAGTAAATGGGGGGGGGAGTGAAAAGACTATCAATATAAAATGCAGAATCATATAAATGTCAGACTCTAAATTTTGAAGTTCACCTTTAAGGTAGTTTCCTTCTGCCTATATTATCCCTCAGATATATTTTACTATCAAGACTTAATGGAAAGGATCCTTTTGTCCACTGATACATAGTAAAAGCATCAATGTAAAGACTTATGCACACATACATTATGTTCCATTTTATACCTAGGAATTTAACAATAGTGACAAAGATGACATAATTTCAAATATAACAGTATTGAAACATATCTCCTCTTTTTAAATTTCTAAAGAATCCCCAAATCCCTTAGAATTCATGAATCATTTAGAACACAAAAAACATGTTCTTTCATGAATGCATATTTACAAGAAATAGGTTTTGTACTGGTTATTCACAAACAGAACCTGGGAGGAAAATGCAACAGGAAGCAAAAATTCTGTTCATTAGTTCAGTGTTTCTCACTGTAAAGCTGGCTGGGGAATTCTGGGAACGGAAGTCCACATGACTTAAAGTTACCAAGGTTGAAAAACCCTGGACTAGAACACTAGGAGCAATACTGTACCAAACCATTATGTTGCAGTATAACCCCAGGCCTCTAATAAAATAAAGCAATTACAGGGGGGAAAAAAGTTAAATTAAAGAGAGTGGGGTTGTTTAACATGTATTTCAAATATAATGAAGTTCAGTTACACATTCTGAGATGCATATCTTATGTAAAATTGCAATGTCTTGTGATCTGACAACATCCCTATGACAAGATGTAGCACAACCTGTAATTTCAATAGTTTTTTCCAAGTGCTCCGTACAGTGTAGTTCAGAGCTGTGGGACCTATACTGGCATCCTGATGCTTGGCAGAGAGAGAAAAAGTGGCAGAGAATAATGGCACATTGAAGCAAAACAGCTATTAGACAGGGTGGTTCTGTATACCCTCCACTTTAGCTCAGTTAAGTCCAACAAAATGTCACCTCAAAAAGATTACTAGAATTTATAAAATCCACTTATCTAAAAAATATCGAGAAAATACACACATAAAGGAGGGTTTGCTACTCTTTGGAGACCACCACCAACAAACCTATTAGAGAAAACATTATGTATTGCTGAATTATAACTCTGGCATGCTTCTTTATTCATTGTGCTGGCTTTGGCTCTTGGCATTAATATTTCAGGAAAGCCTCATTTCTAATTCCTGTTCTGTCTCAGCCAATGAATGGAAATCTGGAAAATACTAAACTTATCTGCTTTTGCTACATGGGTTACAAATCATGGCTGGTGGCATTTCAAGTCTGTTATAGATTAGAACAGGAGCACTGCATTGTTTACATGTTTATTATTAAGAAAAATAGCCTCTAGGTTATTCGTTCTAACCAGCAGAACGGAGAATCTATATCAGTGGTGGGTTTCAAAAATTTTTAGAACCTCTTCTGTAGGTGCGGCCTGCTTTGTGGGAGTAGCTTGCCAGCCATGTGACTGGGTGGGAGTGGACAACTTGTAAAATGTGATGAAACTCACTTAACAATGCTCTTACTTAGCAACCAAAATGTTGGCTCAGAAACTCTGGCATTTGAAGCATGCAAGTCTTAAAGCTGTCAAGTTACAAGACCCTTGCACCCCTAAGCCTTTAGGGAAAAAAACCCCAGGGGTGTTCAAACTTGATAGCTTTAAGACTTGTGGACTTCAGCTCCCAGAATTCCTCCTCCAGTCATGTTGGCTCAGGAACTCTGGCATTGAAGTGTGCAAGTCTTAAAGCTGTCAAGTTAAAAGGCACTTGCACCCCTAACCCTTTAGAAAAAAAACCCCAGGAGTGTTCAAACTTGACAGCTTTAAGACCTGTGGACTTCAACTCCCAGAATTCGTCCTCTCGCTCTTCATCTTGATGATGTGTGGATGGGTGAGGGGAGGGAGCTGGAACCAGTTCTGAACGGCACTGTAGATTTGTGGAACCTCTTCTATAGAAGAGGTTAGAACTGGCAGGAACCCACCCCTGATCTACATGCTGGCAAAGCTCCAAAGGTCATCCACAAAGATCTAATAAACCTTCCAGTTCACTGAATACTTAAGAAAAACCTGAAAGCATCCTCATCATTCATGGTGTCTATACTGTATAATAATTTTGATATGAGTTGGAAAACTCTATGTATTCAACACTTGTGTAAATTAGTCACATTTCAAGGAAATTAGAAAACCCCAAAGAACACATTTTTATGAATCTCTGTGAAAGATTCCTTTGATGTTTTGTGTGAATTGTCCAAAGCGTCCTCCCTCCTCCTCACCTTTGGGTTTGGATTTCCAGATACTCTGCATATAAAAGTGACCGGCATTCCTTCGAATATTTTGTAGTGTTTAAGTTTTGTCTCAAAACAAGGTGTCAGGCTGCTATCAAGAACATCTTTCCCATGCTCCACTTCATCATCAGATTCTTCTACTGGAGTTCTCTCCAATCTAAATTCAATTTCACTTATCAGTCTCTGCTCAAAACTGGAGACTTTGTATTCCTATAAATAACAGAAAACTCAAGTTAGGTCTTTAAGGCCACTTTATCAGGAAGGTTATTTGATGAGATTATAATCATTTCAATTTTTCAGATTTTAATTAAAAATGTAGGTATACAGGTCTGTACATTTTAAATAGTATTCTATGAAGCAAAACATAAAGGAATACATTAGCTGAGCAACGGGCATACGGATCTATGGATTAGATTATAATGTTTCTGTTTTAAGGACTGGAAATATTGAAATAACCCCTTAGATTACTTAACTAGTTAAGTAGAATGTAAAACGATTCATTTGATCATTTTAAATATTGAACATATTTTGAATGGAACTGTATTCCCTAAAAATCTGAAGTGGAGCTGTTTACTACATAGCAAAGAATAGCTTTAAATCTCAGATTAGTGAATTATGCAAAGGAAAGGAAGCAAAGATTAAATTCTGCAAACAGCATTGCAATGCCAAAAGAGGAAATAGCAAGAGGTCAACAGACAGGAAAGCAAGAAAAAAGGAAGGTAGAACCTTTTGCACAGCCTCATGAGTCACTATAGAAGCATCAACAGAACCAGTTCCCTGTAAAAGCAGAAAAAAATATGGACACTAAAAGAATTGTAGGAGAACTTTGCAATAATCTCAGACAAATTGTTTCTCAGGATTGATTATAAATGATGATGACCAGTCATTTCATTAAAGTGTAGAAATTTCTTGTTCTTTTGCACTTAAAAAATTTGCAGACTATATTTGATGTCAAAATGAAATGGAATAAAAAAGCAGGATAGAAGACATGAGAATTGAAAGAAATTATTATTTCATATGATCAGCTAAGGAAGAAGCACTATATTCTGCATTATAATTGCCTGCAATCATGCAAGAGTTTAAACAAAACCATTTTGATTTTATAGGATTCTGTTCTCTGTTCAAGCAAAATTCAGATTCCATCTTTTTCTAGTTATAAAAATAATCAAATACTTGGCTATGCCGCTATAAATGCCTTGGCCTGCAACAATTCTGCCCTCAAAACTATCTGGCTTCCCCATAAAACCTTTCATTTCTGCTTCAAATTAACCTTCATCCACATTTCCTCCATTGCTTCATACTTTATGGCTGTTTATATCAATCTACTAAACAACTAAAATATTTACTGTCTTTTTTTAAAAAATGCCTTAGAGCAAGTGGGGAATCTTTCAGTGCACCTTGCAGACTGAATCCAGCACAAGGAATGTTGATTGTCTACCCATAAAGTGGTCCATTAGTAACTGAAGAGGACCAATTCCCATCTAATATAATGGTATCCCTTGTTCATTCCCTAGTCTCTGACATATAGGCAGTTCATTTTCAGGCTAATGGTAAAAAGGGGAATTTTCAGAGATGAAAAGCATCATACAGTACTAAAAACATGATTATTATTAGCAATTCTTTATTTCAAAACTCTTACATTAATATACCATTTAGGTTGTTGTGATAAACACACATGGCAATATAATGTAGCATTTTAATCAAATTTATGGTTTAGTGTTGACTATTTTGTGAGTTGGTACAGCTACAAGTGTAGCTACCATGTTTCATTAAATATGTTTTCCAAATTCATGATGCACTCTATTTGATCAGAACAAGATGCAGAACATAGGCATAAGTGAATATAAAAGAAGACACAACTATGTTCTTGGGATAGTTTTCAGCAAAAAAACATGCATTCCTGCATTTGGACAACATATTTCAGTCTATATAAACTCAGTTTGAGTGGGCTGCTAGCACATCACTTAATGAAGAGCTATTGGGCATTCAACATTTAGCTATAAGTGTAACCAGGCTAATGTTTCCCTCTCTAAGTCTGGAGTGTTATCAAAAAGCAGAATCAAAACAACCACGTCTAACAAAAGCTATTCCATACACAAAAAATTGTATGTAGATTTCATATCATGACACTGTGAAATTTACCTATAACTGGTACATTGAATAACTGATCAAAAGATTAAATCTTGAAGACTAAATACATTTTAGACTGAATCCAAAATGTCTTGCAATTTAATTTCATTTGGGTAGCCAGGCTTGGTGGAAAAGAAATATGAAGCTGGCCTTTGGAACGAGCTCCCCGTGGAGATTCGTACCCTCTCCACCGTCCAGGCCTTCCGCACAGCCCTTAAGAACTGGCTAGCCCGTCAGGCCTGGGGACAAGGATAGCCGCCCCTCCCGAATGATGAATGTATGTTGCTTACTATTTTATTATATGTCTCTATGTCATTCTTTGTATTCCCCCCCCCTGATTTTATGTGAGCCGCCCTGAGTCCCCTCAGGGAAAAGGGCGGCCTACAAATATTAATAAAATCTACAAAAATCTACAAATCTACAAATCTATGAGTATGCAACATCCAGTAGTATGAATCTCTTTGTGAAAACAAACTTTGGCCTACATAATTAAGCAATAATGTAAAGAGTATGTCAACTGATATGTGAATCTAGCCATTATAGTCTAGGGTTAAGATAACCCTAGATTAGCTTGTTTGGGTCATTGTTTAAGAATACCAGATTCCATGTTGGTCAATGACTATCAAAAAAGCTTCTCAACCTATCTGGATTAAAAATTAAGTCTAAAAGCAAGCTATGTTGTCATCACTCCTCAACAAAAAAAAAAAACCCAACCCAACCTTCTTTAACAAGAAAATTGCTATTTTATTATTTATGTACAATTAATATTGCTAAATTGCAGTACCTGCTCTGCAAGTTCCTCTTCTGGTTCTTGAATATTGAAGACTGTTGCAGCATTGTCAGCCCCCAGCAATCGACGAGCCATCTTTTCCTCATATGTTAACTTCTAAATCAGAAGAATGAGAGATATTTGCATCATCTACCAATGAATACATGAATAATGTTTTCCAAATTTCAACACACATTTCAATGTAACTAATACATTTCTGTCAGAGATAGACACAATTTTACTAGCCATGAATCAGTCAACATTTTGGAAGGTTGCCAAAAAAAGAGAGGCACAATGATAAAGTGGGTGGGGTAAAACCATAAATGGCATGGGACTAGTATCTCCATGACATTTTTGAAGAGTGGATCTGTTATTTTTAGAATTTTTAATACAGTTTTTGTGAATTTCATGAGTTTTGTGAGCTTAAAATAGCTGGAAATAGTGTCATCAATTTTTACCAGTTACAATAGAGAGAGATCTGGGGAGAAAAAGGATTTTTTTAGAGCCACCAGTTTTAAAATAATGTTTTCTGAAAATCTGCTAGCTTTCTTTCTGGAATAAAGATAGGAGCCAGGGTTTCTTCTTACAGCCAAGAGCAAATAGGAAAATCCATTTACATCAAACCAGTGCATATTCAATGACTTCAGAGCTAGCTGTACCACTAAAACCCATGTTGGCAATTCACTGAATCCACAAGGCTCTTTTGCTAGAGAGGAGATTCCTCTCTATCTGAGGAATGAAACCTCTGGATAAAACTTGTTCTAAGCCTAGACAAAGAAGCTGATTTGTTACAAACTTCCTTAATCTGGCCATATCCAGGGTTGCCTTTGGCCATACTGGCTGGAAATTTAACACATCTAGAGGATTACAAGTTGAGGCAGGCTGTATTGCAGGCTTTGTCTTTGCTAGTTTAGACTCATAACAGTTGTAATCTGCAGAGCTGAACAACACGTATTGTTCCAGATCCTGCAATGAAGACTCATTTTGTTGGTTTATATTTGCTTTATATATTTACATTTTACATATATATTGAAGATATTTGTATTCTGCCTCCTTATTACAAAGTAAAGAGCCATGGTGGTATAGTGATTAGAACGCAGGCTAATTCTGCTGACATACAACTGCCAGCAATTCGGCAGTTTGAGTCTATGGCCCAAGGTTGACTCAGCCCTCCATGCTTCCAAGCTCAGTAAAATGAGGACCCAGATTGTTGGTGCAACATGCTGACGCTGTAAACTGTTTAGAAAGGGCTGTAAAGCACTGTGAAGTGTTATATAAGTGCTACTGCTATTCTTATTGTTTAAGATAAAAATATAAAAACCTAGTATAATAATTCTATTTTGCTTTATATAGTATGTGCAGTAATACAAGTATGCCATAAAAACAATTCCCTTGCTTAGTGATTTTTACTGACAAAGTCTAAATTTTGCAAAAGCGTTGACACCAAAAGAAGAATGCAGGACAGGAAGGAGCACACGGTAAGTCTTATTTCCCCTTTATAGAACTTTGAAACTATAATATATAAATTAAAACAAGTATGAGTATTTTAAATGAATTTTTCAGGTGACCAATTAACTATATTCAAAATTTACAGCTACAACTTACAGGTGAAACTCGAAAAATTAGAATATCGTGCAAAAGTTCATTTATTTCAGTCATGCAACTTAAAAGGTGAAACTAATATATGAGATAAGGTCCAAAGTTCTCTTTTCTGATGAGAGCAACTTTTGCCAAAAGCATGAAAAACTGTGAAATGACTGTGGGATTATTGTGTTTGATTGGCCTCTCCATTCTTCCTCCATACTCTGGGTCCTTGGTTTCCAAATGAGATGCAAAAGTTGCTCTCATCAGAAAAGAGGACTTTGGACCACTGAGCATCAGGATTTTGGACCACTAAGCAACAGGATTTTGGACCACTGTGCTTCATTAAGACCAGGATCAACACAGCTGTCTACCAGGAGATTTTGGAGCACTTCATGCTTCCTTCTGCGGACGATCTTTATGGGGATTCTGACTTCATTTTCCAGCTGCTCACACTGCCAAAAGCACCAAAACCTGGTTCAATGACTGTTGGATTACTGTGCTTGATT